ATTCGGCATTGTGTAACCGTCTGAACTCTCCGGTTAACTCATCCTTCTTCGGTCCGAATATTCTACGCAATACTTTATTTTCAAAAACCTTAAGACGCTGCTCATCCTTTAATGTAAGCGGCCAAGTTTCACATCCATAAAGAACTGTAGGTGAGATAATTGTTTTATAGATTCTAATTTTTAAGTTCCGGGACAAAAGTCGCGAGCTAAGTACTTTTGTCACAGAAAAATAACAAGAATTTCTAGCCTTTAGTCTAACCTTAATATCTTCATAAATTTCGTTTATTCTAGTTATTGTAGAACCTAGATACCTAAATTTCTCTACCTGTTCGAACGTATTACCATCTATATCGATATCACCAGTAGTATCGCCATTTTTACAGCTAACCATATATTTTTTTTATCCTCGTTTATTTCGAGCCCTAGTTCTTAATGGCGCAAGTTGAAAAATGAGTATTTTTTTTTTATTTAAAATAATTTTGCTTCGTATTTTATCTCATAATATCATGATTGTATACATTTTAGTTGGAATTATTTATTAGTGGCCATTTGCCAAGGTTTTCCGATAGCTCGGAGACGATCGCCGAACCTATCCGAATGCTCCAAACTAAGTAACTTAGCTGATGATAAAGCAGACCACCTAGAGCATTTAACGGCCTGCTAATTACTTGCTCCGGTTATTAATAATGTTAGCTGTTTATCTTCTACCCCGTTATCCTCCCATCCTTGTGCCCGGGCCTCTCGGGAGCCGTCACCCTGTTCCGGGCGACGGCGGCAACTGCCTACGGGAGAGGCCTGGGGCTGCCGCAAGCCGGTCCCAAGTCAAACAGAAATCCGAGCTGGGAACATCTGCCCCTCGGTTTGCTATTTACACTGAGCCGGTTGAACCTGATCCATTGATTAATATTGTCCGCCATGCTAAGTTCGTCGGGGACACTATCCATCCATTTCCTACTCAGATTTAATCTTCCATTTTAGCTTATATCATTGTTTAAATAGATGTTTTATCCACATGAACCTTTAAGTTGACAGAATGAATAAATCCAATTTCAAATATTTTGGTTACTAATTTTAGGTGCGTTAAGCTAGGAGCTAAGATAGGTTTGGTAGCATCACTTTTGGAAATGCTACACTTAGTTTTTGATTTATATAGTTAAGAAGAGTTCATGTCAAAAGTGGATTTTAACTTAAGAAGGATTATTTGATAAGCTCTAAAAGTGTACATATGCAAGGGGATAGGAATTACATTGTTTATTTTATTATTTACCAATTCCGCCTAAGAGATTTCGGGATATGCTTTTAAGACTAAACGATATAACATCATGGAATAGAAAGAACGAGTTCAAAGTGAGCAAGAATTTTTTATAACCTTTAAAAGGATACCTAAGGGAGATAAATCATCGGATCGTGTGTCATTTCTATATTTCAACATAGCGATAGCCAACTCTAGAATCAACTTACACACTGTAGAGATGTAATAAATTTTCCAAACAGAAATATCTTCTATTTTTTTTTTATATATTATTGAAATTTACAACTGTATTAAATTATAAATACAACAACTAAATATGAAATAAGTAACATGACATGTACAACATGAAGAGAAACTACCCATTGGTAGAACTCAAATTAAAGTTCTATATTAGAAGGTCCTGAGGTCATCTTCTTTTCAGACGCCTCGGAGGGTTATCAGGAATAGAAGAGGAAGCAAGGTTGGAAACACAGAAATTTTTTATGGTTCAGAAGTTTATTATGGAAGGATAGGTATCTGGATTGAGCTAAATCTGAAACATATGGTGCATTAAGGTCTTCATGGATGATTTTATTTGTGACAAAGTAGAGAGCATTGAAGATTTTGGATTGTAGGGATTGGATACGAGAGGAATTTCATGGTTTAGTAGAGCCCCAAAGCTTGATCACGTGAGTCCAAATAGGCATTATTATATTAATATATATGAGTCTTTTGTAAATAGTTGGAAGTTTAGAGTGTTCGTCAAGTAAGTGCTGCAGTAGTCGAAAACGTCGGGCGAGAAATATCATTAAAATGACTTTACTCCAAAATGTTGAAATTGGAGTTAGTCATTCTGTAAAATGAAAGGCTCATATTTTTAAAATGACTACTCTAGGAGCCAATTCTCTCCAATTACTTTCTATGTTTGTACTAAAAATTCATATCTTGTATTTTATTAAACATTAACAAATTTGCAATTATTCCCTCCCGTTGTAAATTTCCGATACTCATCTTCATCTTGAATGAATGAAAATCAAATATTATTCTTGCACACATAGTCCCCATTGAATAACGCAAACGTAAAATGTCAGAGACATTTTATTGCAAGTTGTCCTATTCATAGAGAACTTATAGGTATTCATCTAGGAAGAGGACGTTGTCTGAGGATATAGTCAGAGATTTGTCGAATTGACAGAATAATAATTTACTTTATAATTATTTTAAAGGAGCTACGTGCTACTGGACAAACCAACTGAAGCCGTGGGACTGCCTGGGTATCCATAACATGAGCCTAGTAAAACAATTTATCATCTTTATATTAATATATATATATATATATATATATATATATATATATTATATATATATATATATATATATAACGTGTGTGTGTGTATTATTTGAAGCTTAATATTTAAAAAAAGACAGTTTAACTCATAGTAATTTTGTTTTCAGGTAAGCAAGCATTAAGTATACGAGTTCTTTAACCTGGTCGCCAAACGTATGTATTAAAAAAACATTATCTTATTTAACTTTTAATAAAATTCCATTAGTGGTTAAAATTTCTTTGAAACAATTGAAATTTCAAAATCTGTACAAGAAACTTGGGTGTTTAAATTAATTTTTTTTTATTATTATAATCATATATTTTTGTTGTATTGAAATTATTTTTTAAGTAATTTTTTATTGATAAAAAAATACATTTTGCCTCAATTAAGGGCATTGAGTATTTAGGATGAATGAAACACAAACATACCATATGTACAATAAAAGAAAAACAAGATTAAAGGAAAAAACAAGATTATATATTGAAAATAGGAAGAATTACATTTTGAGAAATCATATTTAATATGTATAAAGTATTATATATGAAGAAGAGTTGATGTCGAAAGTGGATTTTATCTTAAGAAAGAATATTTGATAAGCTCTATAAGTGTACATAGGGGATACGAATTACAATGTTTATTTTATTATTTATCAATTCTGCCTAAGAGATTTCGGGATATGCTTTTATGACTAAACGATATAACATCTTAAAATAGAAAGAACGGAGTTCAAAGTAAGCTAGAATTTTTTATAACCTTTAAAAGGATACCTAAGGGAGATAAATCAGGATATCTTGTGCATACACGTGTATCAAAAAGCTTAGTAATAAAATATGTTAATGGTTCGCTTGAAAATTTTAGTATCGATTTATCCAATGAAAAAATTAATAAATAAATACCGTGTTTTTTCTATAAATAGACCCCTTAACATTTAATTGTTCACAATTTATTTCCTGCCATGTTAGTATCTAGGAATTGTGAGAACAACAAATTTTACCCAAAAAAAAAAAAAAAAAATAATGGGAAATATTATTTTAATAGATATAGTCCGTGGTACATACAGACCCTTTTTATCGAATTATTAACATCCGCATGAAACTTCGTAAATAGTTTCATCTCATCGTAACCTATAACTATTTTATTTACGAAACCTCTTGGAATTGGGGCGTTTTCAATCTAGAGGAGGGCAAACTATGCCTATTTAATTATATACTAAATATAATTAAATACACATTTGCTTTCTAATTGGATCGTAAGATTATTTGATCAAAAAATCGAGAAAAAAGATGGTCTTCAAAGATATTGAGCCGTTTGGCGTGACATACACCCCCAAATCTTCAAAATAACGAGGTTATATAGGACAAACGCCCCAATATTTGCGTATGTCACCTTCATCTATTTTGTTATCAAATTATCTTACTATCCAAGTAGAAAGTAAATGTGTATTTACGAGTTTTTAGTACCTAATTAAATAGACAAAGTTTGTACCCCTGTAGATCTCAATTTCAAGAGTTTTCGTAAATAAAATAGTTGTCGGTTACGATGAGTTGAAGCTATTTGTTAAGTGTCAGGCGGATGTTAATAATTCGATTAAAATGGGTCTGTACCACGGACTATTAAGTGATCAACTAAATTATTCAATGATTGATAGAGTTCGTTTTTTTTTACTTACCTTTTTTTTAGATATTTTTATTTTAAATTTATTTTGTTTTATCGTTTAATATTCATGACTTACATTAAACATAATTTACTTAAAAAACATGAGTATAGTCTATTAATAAAAACTTTAGTTTACCTCTCTCCAGATTGAAAACGCTCCAATTCGAAGAATGTTAGTAAATAAAATAGTTGTAGATTACGATGAGATGAAACTATTTACGAAGTTTCAAATGGATGTCAATAATTCGATAAAAAGGAGTATAGCATGTTTAACACTTCACTGGAATGGAGTGAAGTTATTAAAGATAATTTGATCACAAATTAAAAAAATGTGGTCTACAAAAATATTATGCAGTTTGTCCTGTATAACCTCTTTATTTTGTAATTTTGGAGTTGCAGGCTACGCCAAACGGCTCAATATTTTTGAAGGCCACCTTTTTTCTCGATTTTGTTATTAAATTATCTTACGATGCAAGTAGAAAACAATTGGATATTTACAAGTTTTTTTTATACAATTAAATAGACAAAGTTTGTCCCTCTCCAGATTGAAACCGCCCCAATTCCAAGAGTTTTCGTAAATAAAATAGTTGTATGTTACTATGAGATGAAACTATTTACGAAGTTTCAGGCGGATGTTGCTTGATATTGTTGCTGAGTGGCATACATGTGACTGATCAAATTTCCATCTAACACAAACCCTAAATCAGTTCAAATAAAATATAGTAGGCTATAATTTAGTGCTCACCAGAATCTTGAGAAGAATTCAATCTGCAGAATGCACTCCATCAATAACGGATGAAAGTTAATCTGAGACAATTGGCGTTATAACCCCGCTTAGCTTTGACATCATTACCCCATGCATCTGCGGATCTGATAAGGCCGGTCCATTTGGAACGCAGGAAGCCAGAGCACTTTATCTGGCAGGCTCCGTTCGGAGCGAAGCGTTCGGGCATATCATCTGTCACTGGATCGATTCCCGCCGCTGTTGAGAGGTGTCTCATCGAGCCCGACATATCAGCACTAATTGAAAAGTCACTCTTAACCGGCTAATATTCTGTTGGCGATTTCATCCGAACGAGTGGATTCACAGAAATCTAATTTATTCCCGAATTGATTGATTAAAACAAAAAATAATGACACGAAAAAATCTCGACAAAAACAAAACTTATTACATACTTCTGTGATTGCTAACAAAAAAACATAATCGAGCAATACATTTTTTTTATTATTAATGATATTTAAAACTGTATTAAATAAATACTTCTAGTAAATTTGAACATATGGACATAATGACATGGAAAACACTTGCTGAGTATCTACCCAATGGTAGCACTCTAATGATATGTCTACATTAGGAGATCACGGGGCCTTCTTCTTTTCAGACGCCTCGGAGGATTATCAGGAATTGAAGAGGAGGCAAGGTTAGAAACGAGAGGATTGGGATGATTCTGAAGTTTATTATGGAAGGATAGGTATCTGGATTGGGCAAGATCTGGTTTTATTTGTGACAAAGTAGGGAGCATTGAGGATTTTACGAAGGATTTTGGATTGAATACAAGAGGAATTCGATGGTTTAGTGGAGCCCCATAGCTCAACTCCGTAAGTCCAAATAAGCCTTATTATAGTCATGTATATCAGTCTTTTGTAATTAATTGGAAGTTTAGAGCGTCTGGCTAGTAAGTGCTGAAGTAATCGGAAACGTCGAGCGGTTTCTTGTCGTTTCAGTCTAGTATAAGCAATAACTAAAATTTTTATATTTTCCTTGGGTTAAGTCAAATATACTTCCATTTTTCTTCAGTCCTTTTAATTACATCTATTATATCGGACGTTTGGGAACAAATTTTCCCATCATCAGAGTATTCCTTATGGTTACTTGATGTGATGTGGCACCATTTATCAAAAATTCAATAATTGTCATATTTATTGTAATTTTTTTTTTGGTGTTTTAAATTCATTTCTTGTTCATTATCACACCAATCAATATCTGGCTATCTTCAGTTCTTTGGTCTAGTTGGTTGGTGTGATAATGGACAAGAAATGAATGTGTAACACCAAAAAAATATTAAAAAAGACATGACAATTATTAAATTATTGCCAACTTTTGCCACATCACAAAATCAAGTAAACATAATTAATATTCTGAGGATGGGAAAATTTTCCCGAAACGCCAGATATAATATATGTAATTAAAAGGACTGAAGAAAAATGGAAATATATTTGCCTTAATCCTAGAAAAATATATAAACAGAAGCTTCCTAAAAACAGAAAAATAAGAAGATAAGGTTTATCTAACTATTTCGATTGATTCCGTAGAGAAAAATATATCAAAGATATAAAAAAAAAACTACATCTGCCTTAGAGTATATACAAAATGTTCAAAACACCATATCTCTGCACCAAGTTGTCAGATTTCGATGATTTTTTTATTAATTTTTTTTTTTTTAATGTAATTTCACTATCTCTGAAATAAGCCCATACATAATCAAAGAAGGTAAATATTAAGGAATTTGCAAATAAAATTATTCATACCTTTTTTACTAGTTTCTGTTCGAGGATGTATATTATATACATATCTTTATGTCGGATTCATGAATAAGATGGTAAATTAATATATTTGTTATTTCTCTTTGATAATATTATATTGTCCGTTATGGTTACAGAACGATATCTTAGTTCTATTAAATCGTTTCAAAACACTACATGGCACATATCTGAACTATAAATAAACGCCTGTTTTTTCCCTCGAATATATTCAGGGTTTATACATACCAATTTCACGAGAACGTCAGAAGTCGTCAAAACACGTCCCGACGAAATATAATAAGCAGGGGAAAGTGAGGAAAACACGTTTGAAGGGGAAGTGTTCTTAACTATATTCCACCGATGTTTATTCCGTAAAAGAGAGATACGAAATATTACTTTTCTTATTGAATACACAATAGTTGACCGTTGTATTATTAAGGAAGGAGATGGTTCGGGGTGATGGTCATAAACAAACTAAATAGTGGCAAAACTATTTTATAAAAGCCAACGTTTCGACCCGACTTTGTTGTTCTAGAACTGAACCGTTCTAACCATGAAGAAGACCTGCTAAGTCGATTTGAAACGTTGGCTTTTAATAAAATAGTTTTGCCACTATTTAGTCTATTTATGACCGCCACCCCGGACCATCTCCTTCCTTATTAATTTTCCTGTATGGGTGACTTAAAGCAAGTCGGGGTCAAGTATGAGACTAAAAAATTACTCCTCGTTTTGATCCTTATAAATTATTTCTCAAAGTTATATTTGTTTTCTTCGCCAAAATCCCCTTAATATTTCACCAAAAAAATAAAAATAAACAATTATTTTGAAGATTATCTTCACCGTTAATTAGGAAATCAGTACATTTCTCCCCCCCCCTTCCCCAAAATGAGGACGAAGAGCTTAAAACAAAACTTTTAACTTTGTCTTATTTTTTATTATAAAAATGCTTGTCGACTATTTTTTTTTATTTAAAAAAATCGAAAAGGGATCATTATTATTAAGATACAGGCAAATTTTTTTTCTGGACCCCCTGTAAATTGTACTACAAAACCATACCATGTTTTCTAAAAAATGGTTTGTAAAACCTTTAAAAATTCTATAAAAGGTTTCTGTAGACGTTCTATATTTCTCATGTAATGTATTTTATTTTTTTAAATCGTGAACAAATAAAATTTAATTTTTTATACATAGAACTTATAACATAAAACGTTCTTCAAAGCTTTAATTTTAAAACTTTTTTTTAAGTTCCATTGAAACTGAAAAATAGGTCCCCGGATTAAAATGATTACGACTGTCAAACCCGTTGTTCGAATTACATTAAATCATACATAGAGTTTAAAACGTATTGACTTATTACAATATATTTTATTATAATAAAGATAGTCTTAAACATATAAAAAGGTAAGGTGTGTGCTTTAGACCACACGATAGAAGAGGAAATAGTAACAAGGCAAGATTAATAATATGAAATATTTTTTTTTTTTTTTTTTTATTTCAATGGAATTTACAACTGTATTACATAGAGAATACAATAAGTAAATGAGAAATTTGTAACATGGCATGTACAACATGAAGAGAAACTACCCATTGGTAGAACTCAAATTAAAGTTCTATATTAGAAGATCCCGAGGCCATCTTCTTTTCAGACGCCTCGGAGGATTATCAGGGATCGAGGATGAAGCAAGGTTTGAAACGAGAGGATTCGGATGATTCTGCAGTTTGTTATGGAAGGAAAGGTATCTGGATTGGGCCAGATCGGAAACATATGGAACATTAAGGTCTTTATGGATGATTTTATTTGTGACAAAGTAAGGAGCGTTGAGGATTTTACGAAGGATTTTGGATTGTAAGGATTGGATACGAGAGGAATTCGATGGTTTAGTGGAGCCCCAAAGCTCAATTCCGTAAGTCCAAATAGGTCTTATTATTGCCATATATACGAGTCGTTTATAATTGATTGAAAGCTTAGATCGTTTGTCTAGTAAGTGCTGCAGTAGTCGAAAACGTCGGGCGGTTTCTAGTCGTTTCAGTCTGGTATGGGGGTTCCAAGTGAGTCGTTTGTCAAGGTGGAGTCCTAAGTAGCGGATTTGCTCAACAGGAATAAGTGGAGTATTATTGAAGGATACTGTAGGACAAGAGGTCATAGGTTTACGACGGAGGGTAAAAGTGATTTGATGGGATTTGTTGGAATTTATTTTTATTCTCCAATTTTTACACCATTCTTCAAGGCTTGTGATATGTGATTGAAGAGTTTGGGATGCAATTAAAGGATCGTTATTAACTGATAGGATACACGTGTCATCGGCATAGGTGGTGATGACAGTGTTGGAATATGAAATATAAATTATAAATACTTGCTAAATAATAAGAGGATGAAATGTTAAACATTTCCCTCGCTTACAGTGCGCAGGCCCGATTTTTAGTTTCTGAGATATTTTAATCCATGTATTCAATAAAACTCATTATCATTTGGTTTTCGACACTATTTTTTTTCCTTACCACTTTCCTAACATGGCGACGTGTTAAGATACAATTATGTATAATAGCTGATTACAAAATATGCAGCTCCGATTTTTAGTTATTGAAATATTTAAATCCATATAAAAAAAAATTTAAATTATTCGACGCCAGCCGACTTTATCCGAGCGTTATACATCGGAAATTTGACGGACGCCCTTAAAGAAGTTTTTACTTAAATTACATTGAAAAGAATAAATTATTATAACTTTTTTGTCAGGCAATATTTTCACGTCTGTATCGGCAATTTAAACGAAGTAAACAAAAAAATTACAACTGTCTTCGTCTGTTTAATAATTCCGTTTATGAAACAGTTATCGATGTGTAAAATAGTCGTCCATGTCGAGTTATAAATTTTCTAATAGGTCAAACTCAACCGGACACATAGAAAGGTCATTTCGAACATTGAATAATGGAAGATACATTTATGAGTAGTGTTGACAAAATGATGTAACATACCCTTTCATTTTTGGAATCGTCAGTATAAATTGGATAATAGTGTCTTTTCTCTGTGCCTTCATTATTCATATTATTAATTGAGCTTTTCATTTGACAGAATGACTAACTCCAACCTCATAGTTTTTTTGGTGATATTTTCAGTTAGAAAATTTAAAATATCTGTACAGACAGTGAGTAAGTTGATTCCGGAGTAGGTGATTGCAGTGTTGAAATACAGAACTGTGAATAAAGGTATACATTTTCTCACTAGAATCATCACTAAAATTAATAATAAAAAAAATGTTGAAATTGGAGTTAGTCATTCTGATAAGTGAAAGGCTCAATTGTAACTACATTTCATACCTGAAAATGTAAGGAAGTTGTTTTTGTTATTTTTAATAGCACAACATTTATAAATTGCCGGGTATGGTATTGAGAATTAGATAAAGTTGAAATGAGCTTTGAAAAGACTTCTGCCAACATTGCACTATTTTCCTTGCAGCTTGCAGGTCCGATTTCAGTTCCTGAGATATTT